TTAGTAGAGACAGGGTTTTGCCTTGTTGGCCAGGCTGGTCTTGAACCCCTAACGCCAAGGGATCCACTTGCCTCAGCCTCCCAAAGTGCTGGGATTATAGGCACGAGCCATTACACCCAGTTGTGAGCCCACTTCTGGCTGCTGTCCTCTTTCACGCATGTGTCCCCAGTGCTATCCATGGTGCTCCTCTGGCATTCAGCTGGAGAATGGCCTACACAGCAGGACTCTGCATCGAGAGGGCACCAGCAACCCCAGGAGACAGGCTGTGGTCCAGTAGTGCCCTGTACAGGGCAAGCAGCCCCCACTTACCCAGAAAATGAGTGAGAGCTTCCACTCACCATATATCTGCCCATTGATACAGCACTTTTTAAAGGTCATGATATTTTGTGTGAGCGTCCCCGTCTTATCAGAGAAGATATAATGGATCTGCCCGAGTTGTTCATTGAGCGTTGTGGTTCTAGCTTTTGCGGGTGTGTCCTTCTCAGCATAGTACATTTGTAGGTCCCAGTTGATGAAGTGACTCTGTCCAAGACGAATCACTTCCACGCTAGGAAGACAGAAGATTATTTTCCTTAGAGAGCTCAGATATGAGTGGCAAGTAGTAGAGACTTTATTCTCATTGTATAGACAAGAATAAGCTGCTTATCTACTGTTATGGTCTGAAAGTTAGAATCCTCCTCCAAATTTGTAAGTTGGAGGGGGATTCTAACCTAATCCCTGATTCAACAGTATTGAGGTGGGGCCTTTAAGGTCATTAGGTCATGAGGAGTCCACCCTTATGAATGGGATTAGTGCCCTTATCAAAGTGGCCCAAAGGAGCTTGCTTGCCCCTTCTGCCATGTGAAGAAGTAGCTAGAAGGCACCGGCTGTGGCTATGAAGCAGAAAGTGAGCCATCACCAGACCCAGAAACTGCCAATGCTCTGATGTGAGCCATCCCAGCCTCTAGATCTGTGAGCAATAAATTTCAAAGGTCTTTTGTTACATCAGCCCACACTAAGCCTCTACAGGGAGACAAGCTGATGCACTCAGCCTCTGGTTTCTCCTAACCACATGCATCATTCTCAGGCTTCAGGGTCAAGCTGATTTTAGACAAGTAATTTCCATTCAAAATTACTCAGTGAAATTTCCCACTCATTTCTGGGCACATTTACCCAGGGCACCCATGTTCAGAATACACAGTCCACCAGAATGGATAACACAGCAACACTGCAGACAGAGCTGCAGACACAGCAAGGCCGACTCTCTTTTCCCCCATTCCCCATTGTACCTAAGGGCAACTGGAATGGCTGTGTTCACCTTTGTCCTCAGTGGTAGGGCAGAGGGAGTGAGAGTACCCCAGGGTACGGACTCCACTGTGCTCTCAAATAGGCAAATGACTTTTGGCAAATACTCCTAAATCATGATCCTAAATTATTATAAGGTTATAGAATATCCAAAATAAGATATTCTAAAAGGATCATCTGAAATTTAAAACTACAAGGGACATTACGGATCTCAGTTTTAAGGAATCTGTTTACATAGCCTGCATTGTTAGGTGGGCAAAGGAAGTCCACAACAGATTAAACAGATGGAAAAATAACTCTCTCCCCATTTCTCTCCCTTCCATAACTATTTCCTAAGTATCTACTACATACCAGATATACTGTTCTAGGTGCAGGGAACATGCCTGTAAACAAAACAAAGTCCGTGCTCTAAAGGAGGCCACTTTCTATCAGAGACAGAAAAATAAATATACTAATAAAGAAAGGCTGTATCGGAGGTGAAAGTTCTCTGCAGAAAGTCAAAGCAGAGGGCCAGGTGCAGTGGCTCATGCCTGTAATCCTAGCACTTTGGGAGGCCAAGGTGGATCACTTGCGATCAGGAGTTTGAGACCAGTCTAGGCAACATGGTGAAACCCCCTCTCCACTAAAAATAAAAAAATTAGCCGGATGTGGTGGCAGGTGCCCCGTAGTCCCAGGTTCTCAGGAGGCTGAGGCAGGAGAATTACTTGAAGCCAGGAGGCAGAGGTTGCAGTGACCCAAGGTCATGCCACTGCACTACTCCAGCCTGGGCAACAGAGCAAGACTGCCTCAAAAAA